TCTGATGCTCTGGCCACCGCAGAGGATAATCAACGGTGCCCTATCTGCTGCATCGGGCAGGGTGGATAGGGGTTTAGATGCTACTGCTCAAGCTTTTCCGTCTTCTTATTCCCCCTCTTGCGCCTTTTCCCCCCTATCGTCCCGTTCCAGCTTCACTTTTATCCCCCTTGTTTTCAACCCCCCAATTCTCGGCCCTCCCCCACCTTGCTTCAATAGTCGCTTGTCTTTTAGTTTCAACTCACAGGTGAACGCGGAGTGTCATTCCTGCCCTGTCAACAGGCCCATGTCCAAGCAAACGGCCCATTCCAGTTCATCGGCTTCCATTTGGAGCCCTTGATCCTCCTTCAGATTGGCATGTCTCAATGTTCGCACATTGCTTCAGATCGGTCAACAGACAGCACTTGCCCGAACATTAGAGACCCTCTCCATCGATATTTGCTGCTTATCGGAGACCCGCCTGCAAGACTCGAGCTCTGTACTCACTCTGTGATCCCCTTCAGGTGACACTAGCAGTATTTTCTCATTGCGCCTATCCGGTGACGATGCAGCTTCGAGTACCGGCCAAGCCGGTGTTGGTATTGCCCTGAGTCCTCGGGCTGAAGCTAATCTGGTTGAATGGATTCCAATCAGTAGCCGGATGTGTGCGGTTCGATTGGCTGGCTTGTTCAAAACTTCGAAGTCGCGTGGGACTAACAGGTGTCTATTCGTTATCGCTGCCTATGCACCGACAAACTCTAGCGATGATTCGGTAAAAGACGACTTCTATCGTCAACTGAACGAGCTCCTTAGCCACAGAAGAAGCTCGGACACTGTAGTGCTGGCTGGGGATCTGAACGCTCAAGTTGGAAAATTATCCACAGATGAGCCGCATCTGGGCGGCCAACATGGTATAGGCTCCCGTAATGATAACGGTCAGCGGTTACTTCATTTGTGTGAGGATGTTCGCTTATTTCTTGCGATCACTAATTTCAGACACAGCACCTTCCGGAAGGTGACTTGGCGCCCACCAGCCTCGAACCAGCTATGGACGCAAATCGGTCACATTGCGATAAGTTACCGATGGAGAGGTTGCGTCCAGAACTGTCGCTCGATTTGGAGCACAGGTGTGGACACCGATCATGCACTTGTATATGCTGACCTGCAGATGCGCTTCGGCGGACGCCCACGACGACGTTGTGAGCGCATTGACACCGGCCAACTGGCGAAGCCAGCTGTTCTGAATGCCTATCAAAGTACGCTGTCATGCAAGTTGGATAAACGCTCACTGGTCTCATATTCAGCAGCCCTTACTAGCAGCAGGCAAATCCTCATGTGGTATCTCTAATCACCAACATGGATATTGGGTCTCTTCACAGTCTCTGGAACTTATAGATGCTCGCCGGCATATTCCGGCTGGAAGCGAACAAAATGAAATTCGCAAAGAGCTCTGGGTAAAACTCCGTGCTAACCTGAAAAGAGAGCGCGAATCCTGGTGGTCTCATCTTCCATAAGAGATGGAAATGGCCGCCTCCCTTAGTAACCATCCGTCTGATACGGGAAACGGGCAGCAGGAGACCTGGTGTTAGTGAAACTATACGTGACGAGAGTGGACAGCCTATCCACAACTTATCAAAACGCTTACAGCGTGGGGCTGAGCACTTTAAAAGGCAATTTAATCGGTCGGAATGGTTAGATTTCTCGCCGGACACTGATCACACTGCTCCGTGGGCTGTCCCTTTGGTCCGCCCTCTCACTTAGAAGTCGTACGTGAAATCGGACTGTTGTACCTAAATGAAGCCGCGGGACCAGATGATCCTCCCCTAACCCTCTTCAAATTCGGAGGACCTGCTATTGTGGATGATTTACACGAGTTACTAAACTGTGAGAGCAGAAAACTGTCCCAGCCGACTGAAACCGCTCCGTTATTGTCCCTATCTTCAACAAAGGCTCGCTTTCGGAATGCGGCAACCATAAAGGAATCAGTCTGATGTCCGCCTCCAAATTGCTTACCTCTGTCATCTTTCACAGACTGACTGGCACTCGTGAAAGCCAGATTCGTGAGGAACAAGTCGCGTTTCATTGTGGTCGGGTACGAATCGATCACATCTTCACCTTGCGTCAGTTTCTGGAGCACCGTCACATATATTGGCGGCCCACCGTTGTCGTGTTTCTCGATATCAAAGGTGCGTTCGATTCGGTGGATAGACATGCACTTTGGGACTGTCTACTCAGGAATGGTGTACCTGAGAAATATGTGAATATTATCCGAGCATTATATGCGCGTAGCTCGGGCAGAGTGAGGGCTTACGGCAAGTTGTCGTCGCCCTTTAATTTCTCCAGCGGCGTGACACAAGAATGCCCGCTGTCACCTTTCCTCTTCAACTTCGCTATTGACGAAGTCATGGAAATCGCGTTCACAGGACACGACGACTTTGAAGATGTGGATCTGCTCCCGGGAGAATGAATTCTTGACTTAGAGTATGCTGATGATATTGTACTAATCTGTGACAGCTCACAAACGTGTCAAGCGGCACTTGACAGATTAGCACTAGCTGTCCGTCAGTTCTGGCTTTGCTTCCTACCCTCGAAGTGCAAAGCGTTCCTGCAAGATTGGTCTGGACCGCCTCCTTCGCTGACCCTTGGTGGGGATCAGCTAGAAGTCGTTCAAAAATTCAACTACCTGGGAAGTTGTATCAGCGCCCGTGGGAATGAGGATGAGATCACGAACCGTATAGCAAAAGCTCGAAGTGCTTTTGCTAACCTTCGCCACTTATGGTGCCGGCGCGACATCACTCTTGCATGAAGGGTAGAGTGTACAATGCAGCGGTACGTTCAACCCTAATGTACGGTTGTGAAACTTGACCGCTTAAAGCAGCGGACCTGAAGAGGCTAGTTACGTTCGATCACCGGTGCCTTCGTAATTTAGCTCACATCTGGTGGGAACACCGCGTGAGCACCGAGCGCGTTCGACGCCTTGTTTATGGCACAGGAAAAGGAACTGAACCGCTCAGCACCGTCATTTCACGCACCAGACCCCGATGGCACGGCCACGTGTTACGCATTGCAGCCCACCGACTCCCGCGACGTGTGTTGTTAGCGCGCCGGGGGTGTGGATGGAAGAAGAGGAGGGGTGGCCAAGCGACGACTTGGTCCAGAGGAATGAAGACCCTCACTTCTGAGCTGGCCTCGGTTGCAGCGTCTGGGCTCCCTGGTTGGGGTCCGAAAGACGATGAACACGTTTGGTTGGATACACTTGTTGATATGGCTAGGAGCCGACCTCAGTGGCGTTCGTGATGTGAGTTTCTTTGTCCCACCCCACCCCTCTTAGCTTCCCCCTCCAACCACGATCTCATTAGTTGGCCTTATATAATTTTGCATAGTAATTTTTTTGATGCACAGTGGCCGGCTGATAGCTTACCGGAACGATGCCCATCCGTTACCGGTAGCTCAGCCGGTTTGAAACAGTTGTTTTTCTTCTCCTTTTTTCTGTGTATTGTGTCACAGTAGCTGAGGTGTGCCCCACCTCTAGCTAACGTGCATGATGATGATGATGATGATGATGATGATGATGATGATGATGATGATGATGATGATGATGATGATGATAACATGCCCCAAAGGGTCATGATAGTCGCAACTCCTGCTAGCGAGTAGTGCTATGGAGCGGCCACATGAGCAGTTAAGTGTTAAATGTGTGCCGGAGTTTGCAGCAAACGGGTAGTTTTTGGATGATAAACTACGGAAAATTAATTTTAAGTACGGACGAAGCTTCAGTGGGCAGTAACATCATCATCATCGTCATCAGCACCATCAATATACGTTAGCCGAGGGCGAGAAACACACCTCACCTAATATGTCGCAATACAAAAATGGCGGTAAAAAAGAGGACGATATTTGTGCCTTGCTGCAGGGACACTATCTAAAGCCTCTAACAGTAGAGGCAAACCACCATGAAAACGTGTAGCTCCGGCGGGGAAGAGGGTGTTGCGTTTTACCTGCAGATATTTCGCTGCAAGGCTAGACAACATCTTTAGTGCGGCTTCCAGGATTTCTTCAATAATGTCAAGTGACTACACGACGGTGTGACAAGACAGGAACAGTAACGAGGTGGTAACAGGAGAGCGCACCGCTGGGCACACACCACTAATTCCATCACGTCCAAACGGTGAATCTGGAAGTGGCCCTGAAAGCCGCACTGATGATGCTGCCTAGCATGGTAACGAGACGTCTGAAACTAAAACACCCAGATCGGAGGACAACAAAGCACCACTGATCAGTAGTTTGTGGCAAAGAAGCGGGGGCTAAAGTGCAGGTTGAACAAACTCTGCGACTATTCTGGGGGTCGATTGAGAACTTACCCCCCAAAGCATAAAGACGACCAACCATCCTGAACCAAACTTAGAAGCACTACGACTAAAGGTTCACCTGGGCTGCATCCGCAACCGCATTCAACCGGCACCACTTTCAGTATTCAGGAACATGACAGGTCACTTAAAGAGGGAACCAATGATTTATTCTTTAGACTTTATGTGGGAAATGGGTTATTTACCAAGCGTTCTTTAACAACTCATCAAGCACGAACAAGAGCCGATACGTAAAGTGCCCAGCGGGCAGAAACAAAAAGCGCCTGAGCCAACACAGTGGGCCTGACGAAAACAGACGAGACATATGAGGACACAGAGTCGTGTTCTTTTAAACACTTACACTATCTCGACGATGCGCACAAGGTATTGTGGTGGTAGAAATTGTCAAAATTAGATAGACGGTGGACGTCTTTGTGGGGGTGCTGAGTTTCGTAGCTGCATGGTAGCGTAACCCTCGAGACTACTGCGCGCACGACCGCATTTGGCACAAGAGCAACTACTGTACAGGCAACACTGGTGGGGTAGTTTGAAAGACACGGTTACACCTGCTATGGTATGGGTTGTTTCCATTTCGCTGTCTGGGCAATGGTGGCACGCGACTGCCCGGCAGCGTGGTAACAGAGCTAGAAATCACAGCGGGGGGCACAAGCAACTTACTCCATCATAGCGACGTCCAACTGATACAGGACACCTTTCAAGGTGTCTCGGTGTGTGGTCAACGGAGGCCAATGTCGATTTGCGGTGAAAATTGCGACCGTTGCACCCAAATCACCGCCATCACCATCCCCATGTTCACCACAAGTGTTGGGCTGAAATGAGAGCAGAACAATGTGAACGATGTACCTAGCGGGTGCAGCCAGTGGATCACGTGATGTCGCAGACAAAATTCCGCATGTGCCAAAAAGCACAACAGCGCTGAACGAAATGGAAACGCATAGGTGCGATATACGAGTGTGAAGGCAGGTACTGTCGGGTCCGGATTAGCGAAGGGCTGGTCGGAGTCGAGTACATGTCTGTTGTGCACCGACCCATAACTGCATGCAGTGTTTAAAAGGGAACAAAAACAAAAAGTATTGGGACAAGTAGATTCATAGAGGAGGATTATCTGAGTTGTCATTTCTGGGTTGATGCATGACGTTGCATATGAACAAAAGGAGTCGCTTCACAGTAAGCAGCATACAGTACCTTCGATTATCAACACAAATGGCTAACTGCATTTGTAGCTGGATGCTTACGGGAGTATGTTTGCCCATGTTGGCAAAAGAGCTGCATGTTTATTTGGTGCTTTTGAATGGCTATGTTAACGGAGCCTGTCCATAGCAGCCATCGAATCTAGCTATCTCTGTCTGGAGCAGCCCGGAGAAGACTAGTTGTATGCCGCCTGTAGCCGATTAACTAACCAATGGGAGTAGGCCAATGTCATCATTTTACCTTGAGGTGGACCAATCAGAATGACTACCTTGAAACCGTCTAGTAAGCACAATACTTGCTCAGCGAACAAACGAGTTTCTGCGTATCTAGTAAGTGCTATATTCGGGAACCTTCAATTAGGTCTTTTCTCTCATGAACTATTTATTTCGACCCAATATTTGGGTTGTACATCCTGTCTCTCGAGTGCTTCATAAAAGTTTCCGCCAGAGGCCTTTGTCTTCTGATTTGGAAAGTGGCTGTATCGGTTATCCATACTATCAGCGGAAACACAACAGGCTATACCAACCCAGGTGGGGAATTGGCCAAATGATGGGTGGAAATGCCCAAATGTGAGGATGTAATGGAGATGAGTAAACCTAAACGAAATGGTATAGTATTGGTCTCATCGAATAGACGATGCGGATCACGTAGCAGCAGGCGGAAGACGACAGTGAAGCTACCGAAGCGGCGATACTCCAGGTGAACGCCATGTCATGGTACGCAAAATTAATATGCGATGAACCGACATTAACTGAGTAGTCGTATCTTGAAAAGATCTCGCAGCAGAACGCCGAACGTCAGATGGAGAGTATAACCAATGTAGGATTGTATACAATACATTGGTTCATACAGACATTTGCTGGGAAAACTACCGTTGTTTGAAGTGTACAATTCACCGGATGGCGACTTACAGGTTTCAGCTTTTCGAAATTGGATATTCAGTGGGGGAGAATAAAGAGTACATGAAAATGGGTGAATAAATCCAAAATGAGAGGTTGGAAGCCAAAATGTAAAGTAGTCATCTATTCAGGGGAGAGGTACATTAAGTACTTGAATACGCAATGGATAAAACGAAGGAAGTTAGATTCACGAGATCCTAAGAATAACATTAGAAAGAAAGGTAAGTCAATAGGAATGCAGCAGTGGGTCATCCAAGAGGCTATTGCCTAAGCTATGTGATCGAATGTTTTGATAGAGCAAAAGCAATGCGCTGTTTAAAGCAGCGACAGAGGTCGGTAAGAAGAAAGGACTATGAGGATTGCGCAGCATGGCATTAAGGAACAAGTAGAAAGGGTCAGGACACCCAAGTGTTGTCTAATGGCAAGCGAATAGCATGAAAAAAACGCAGAGAAAAACCTACCAGCATGGTGAATTTTCCAGAAATGAGCTCTTTTCGAACGCCCTCATCTAATGGGTCGATTGAATCGACATTCTCAGTGTAACGCATACGCTAAAGGACAGAACGAAGAGCACAAAGAAATAGAAGCAAAAATAAATGGAGGCGGAGAGTTGAGATGCAAGCAAAATTAACCGGATTGATAGAATCGAGGGTTATGTTCAATCTAATATTAAAGATGTACTGGTAACCCGAATGGGAAAACAGGCAAAAATTTATGCGCCATTCCACACATCTGAGAGTAGAAAAGTAGAGAAAGTGGCGTTATGACAAACATGGGGACGACGAGACAATGCGGCTCTTGTCTAATAAGTGGGCCCCAATTTACACTGACACAAATTTCACAAAATCTGGATAGATAAATAAGGGGAGAAAAACGCCCCGGACTGAAAGTAGCAAGAAGTTGGGAAATTTGGTGATTTTATTCTATACTAACCAACGTTTCTCAAAGAAATACAAAAATGGTTTGTGTGCACTGGGCTCTATCCAAGGACATTTTTTCGAGTCGCTGTAAATGCTGGTAAGAGTGCCGAAGCTAGGTGATAATGGGTAGACCGGAGGAGATAAACCGGATGTTTGTAAATCCGTGTGGAGTTCATCGGGTTATACAGTCAGTATCCGTCCTGATAACAACAGAATGAAGTTATTACACGTATAGAAGTGCAATGCAACTAGTTTGACTGAGGTGCCAAGCACGCTGAGGAGATATTGAAAGAGTCGTTTTGAAAGAATCGATGTGTGAATAGATTGTGACGCTCAATCTCATCTCACACCGCGATTCGCAATGAACTGAAACTCGGTCAATTCGATCAATTGGACAGTAACTGAAGTGGATGAATTTTGGGTGTTGGAGACGGGTGGAGTAAATGATTTTGGACGGGGAATACTTAATATCCAGACACCAAAGAAACTTATTTTCGAAGAGAAATGATGTAGCGGATAATTGGGGGAAGTTCTCCTTCACCTTTCTGAATTTGACCCAGTGGCCACACTACAGCGACGATGCTCGCCTGACAAAAATAATGTCGGTAGTCACATAGCAACGCCAGCTACTGTCAGCTGTTTTAAAGCACATGAGTAATAGTGTCTATTCCTTACAGGTAAAACGATAGTTGTCAAAAATGGTGTTCCAATTAGAACCGAAAACTCGATCAATAGAACAATAGTAGAGAAATACTAATGTGCCAACGGAAGTATCTAGTACAGCTTCGTTGGGATAATAGCCAGTATGCTTAGTGGTACTCAATAGAAGTAAAGGAGAGTTGCTCCAAGTGGAAAACTGCAAAGAACGAACAGTAAGAGGTGGTGTAAATAGTCCTGAACAAATCAGTTCAGCTGAACAACTATGACCCGAGCACTGAAGCGTGGTGGATCCGTTGCCAAGGTTCACATCGCAAGAATAACAAGAAACAAAGATGGCAAGATGGTGGGATTGAATGCAAATAGAATGTAAAGAAAATGGAATCAAATAGGAGGTGCATTAGAGTAACCAGAATGGAACGAAAATTAACAACCAAATGAAAGAAACCGAATGCAGGAACGCCACTGACTGCGCAATGTCAGATACGGTCCCTACCCATTGGTGTGGACCATCCCGAGGCACCAATACAGGAAGACGGCACGCACCAGCCTGATCAAGTCTTTCAGTCAATTCCTTCAAGCATCTATGCCACGCAATGAACTGGCCACCTAGCGGTTTCGCTCAAATTGATGCAGGCGCAGCGTATAAGGTAAGCCGAGGAAGCCGGTCAACGGAGGATATAGCCTAGCCAACATAAGCAATTAAGTCAGTAAACACTCGCGTGATGCACTAGAAGGCTGCATACGAAAAACCAATAGGCGGACCTTAGCATTGCTCACTCGGTGTTCCCACCAGACGTGAGCAATACTCCGCATGCACTGGTGATCAAACAGGGCCAAGCGTTTAATGTCTTCATGGCGAACTGGCCATGCCTCTGAATCAGACAGTAAGACTGCTTTTATCGCAGCGTTATATACCTTACCGTTGACTGACAGGCTGATATCCCACCGTCTCCATAGGTGGTTGAATCTCTGAGAAACCACACGGGCCTTTCTGATACGCGAGGTAACCTTCTCAGTGAAGTGAACACCAAAAGTGACAAAGCTACTAAAGTAAGTGAACCGATCCACCAGTTCTAATAGTTGTGCTGAAATGGTTAAAACCTGAAGTGTGTCAACCCAGTGTTGCAACATTACTCTGTGTTTTGAAGGTGCGAAGTAAACGCCGAAGCGTACAGCACTACGCATTGGTCTATCCAGTAGTGTTTGCACTGCCAATGCATCAGACCAAAGATGGACTATGTCGTTCGAATACTCCAAGCTTGCCAGTCGGTCTCCTGGCATAATTTCCACTCCAGAATAGTCATGAAGAACCGAGGAATTCATGATCATTTCGATCACGAAGTTGAAAAGGAAAGGAGATATAGGACAATCATGGCGAGGTCCACTCGTCGTGGGGAACTCGGGAGAGAGTTCCCCGCAGATCTTTAGACGGCCTCAGGAGTCACGGTAGAGAGACTGCATAATGGAAAGGAGTTTAGCTGGCACGACTTTCGTGGATAGGCAGTGCCACAACCTGTCTCGATCAACAGAGTCGGAGGCGGTTTTCAAGTCAAAGAAATCCACCATAGTCGGTCGTCTGTGTGCGTGTCTCTGCTCTAAAACTTGGCGTAGAGTAAATATGTAGTCGATAAAACCACGACCAGAGCGGACGCCAGCCCAGCTTTCAGTGATTCCAGTTTTCACGGGGGGCGGTAAGTTGTTGAGGAATGATATCCGTGAGATGTTTTGATACAATGGAAACAAGGCTAATGCCTGGATGATTTAGGCACAAAATAAGCTGATCCTTCTTGAAGATGAACACGACAGCTGACAGTTGCCAGTCTGAAGGCACCTGTTTAATATTTCAAGTCGTGTTAACGTGTCAACGAAGAGTCACCTTTAGTTTTCAACAAAGATGGAGGAGCCTTGTTTCTTTTCAACACAGAAAGCTCATGTCGACTCTATTCCAAAGTGAGTGATATCTACTCATGTCGACTCAGGTGATTCGCGAAATAGCAGTCGCAGCAGGCCTGCTAAACTACTCTGTAAAATAGTACCGCCAATGGGCTAGTCGACGACGCTGAGAATGGATCAACTGTCCATATTTTCAGCTATTGTCTTGCGAACTGATGCTTTCTCGGACCCGTGTTCTGAATGAGCTGGAATAGCACTCGGCTGTTCCCAATAGCGCTTTCTTCATCCCACGAGTCCTTGCCATCCATCAAAGTTCGCGGTCGATTCGAAAACCTCTTGTCAGAGGCCGTTGAAACTCAGTGCCCGTTGGAACCTGTTTCCTTGCTTCGATCAAACAGATCGATGTTTCAGAGATAAATTCATAATAACGACGTCCCAAGTTGGGTGCAAAGCATGCGCCAAAAGCATTCTTCACGCAACATATGAGACGATCCCAGTCAGTGTTCGGCTCACCAACTTCATTCGTCACTGGCAAATGATGGACCAGTTGGTTATGCTATTGTTTAACTGCAGATTACGAGTTCAAATTGCAATTAGGAAGGTTAGAACAGGCATTCTCTACCTTTATTAAGCCGTGGCCCCTTTTAGAAGCTTTTCCTTTCTCATCGCCCCGACCCTTGATCGCCATAATTTCAGCAATCCCAACAGTCTGTGATTTCCAGTGGTCATATTGGTATCTTTAACTATGATGGCTACAGTCTTAATGTTGGTAACACGGATCTTTCCTTTACAAGCCTCATATTTTAACACGCACAGCTACAAGATAATAATCATTTTGTGGCAACAGCAAGCCACCTGTTTGAAATTACACAGAAGTCATTAGAAATTTTTAAAATTGTATGTAATTATTGTTGGCTTTTAACTGCATGGTATGTCACGAATTAGGAGGTGCAGTAAGTTCATAACAATTTGTTTGTCGAGATATTAACGCGAGCCTTGAGATTGATATGTTTGAGCAAACCTGCATATGTCGGGATCCAGACTTAACAGCGAGAGTCGAAGACCTCCTCTTGCTGTGATATCCAATCTGTTTATACATTTTGTTAAAGAAACCACTCTTCTGAGTGCACATTCAACTAAATATGTAGATGAAAAAGCAAGAAAACATATTTCGGCTATTTCCCTTAGTCTGGGATATCTGTTAGAGGTATCAGACTTTATCCAAAAATTACTTCTATATTGCATGAAATCGGATCTTGATAGTGCACTTTGAAGCTTTATGAGACTTTCCTGGATTTAAACTCCAACATCGTAGGGCTGTACATCAAATTGATCAAAAAGCCAAGCCGGGATTTTTATGTAATTCAGATCATGAAACTTGTCTTTCATTTCTCTTTGGACCTGTTGTGAATGACTGGCATAAACTATCATGTCTGTATCCTTCAGCTCCTCCTTATCTGTATCGAGGATTGGGAACCGTGAACATTCCCGACGTCCGATGTTTCGGGCATACACTATTTTTCAAATGACTTGGTTATTTGTGTAATCACAACCCACTTTTCACAGCATAGTCCTGTATGGCCCCCCATGGCTCCCCTAAAAAGGTTTCTCATCACAGAGCCCCCGGTGGGTCCGTATATCCCCCGTTGAGAATGGGTGCGTCAGAAAAAAGCCGATTCCTCAAAGCAGGAAAAGTGAGTGTGACGTGCGCGCACTAGAGCATGATCGGAATCCATGCGCGTGCTCTAACTTGACCGACAGTCTTGGACTGATTTGAGCCATCTATAACTGATGGCAATATTGTCAATTTGGGTCCAGATCATTGAGGGATTCGGTCGACGCCAGGTAACGCGGTGTGAAAGTTTGTGCTGGAAAGCAGTGCCGCTAAGGTAAAAGTTGCGGTTGGCGCAGAGTTGCAGGAATCGATCACTATTGTCTGTTCGGCGTGCACCGACTCCGAAGCGGCCTCTCAAGTGCTGTTCAGAATCTGAAAGAGGACCCAATTGGGCATTCATATCACTATTAACAAGCATGATGTCAGTATTTTTGCCATACGAAGAAAAGACGTGAGCTGTCGA